TTATTTAACATTTATCTTCTTATTAGCTCGAGATGTTATAAGATACACATTTACTGCAGCAAAAGGCTTTTGGAGAGGGGTCAAAGTCAATGTTGGTGTGTCGTATTTTTTTTAGCACAGAAGGGATCTATAGTATATTTCTATACCCCTTGTATTTGTAATAGCATTTATTTTCTCATTAGTTCGAGATGTTATAAGATACACATTTACTGCAGCGAAGCCATTTGGGGAGGGGTCAAAGTCAATGTTGGTGTGTCGTATTTTTTTTAGCACAGAAGGGATCTATAGCATATTTTTATACGCCTCATACCTGCAATGTACGCCCTTATATGGCGCTCGTATGGTGTTCATAACCATTACGGGAGAGTCGCGTCGTGAAAGGGTTGGGGTCAATATAGGTGTGCAGTATTTTTAGCTCCAGGGTTTACTACATGTGCCTACGTGTAGCTGTTATATTAGCAGCGGTGCTTCCTATTATGGTTCGGACGGGTCTTTATTAAACTGCCAGGGAGGGTCATTCGCACATGAGACGAATAGCGTGCTTAATACTCGACCCCATCCTGGTTTAATGACTGCCTAAGAAATCATGTCGGGGCCCACCTGGGTACTTGATTAGGCTAGACTTGAGTAATGGCTAATGATGGCCTTCGCTGGATTCTGAACATCTAGTCTTTGCTTTCTTTTGTTCTGTTCGATCTATTTCTTTTTTTTATCCTATTGTATATTTTATTAAGTTTGTTCAATTCTAGTATATTTTATTTCTTTGCTGTTATAAATTATATTCTATGTTGTATTCTATGTTCTTTTCTATACTATATCGTATTGTGTTCTATATCTTAATTTTTCTCATTTTTCTATTCTATATTATGCTTTATTATATCCTACATCCTATTTTGTATTCTATTCTAATCTATTTTATTCTATCCTATTCTGCGTTTATTTCATTCTACATGGCCACCTGTACGTTTCTATTTTCAATCACCTTAAATATGTAAAAGACCAGGATTGTTTAAACGTCTTTTTTACGAAACGTATCGGTATTGATTTAAGCCCTATGACCCGCAATGTTTGTTAAGGACCCTGGCGGGGAAACGCTGCTACGAGCTTGTTAGGTATCGACTGGTGCCGTAAGCACCAACCGGGGAACTGCTTTCATATCAGTCATCGTCATGTCACCCTGTAGGGCCGTTCAAGGAAGCGTGGGGGATGTGTTAATGGACGTCATTGGACGAACATTTGTCTGGTGTTGACCGGACCGGCGTACGCGTGCGTGCTGATGTGCCTATACTGTTGAAGAAAGTTTTACAAAATCACAGCAAGTTCCACTTCGTAGAAAACTTTGGGCAAACACAAGAAAACTGTTACTCAAGCAAATAGGCAGATTTTGAAATGATTTTCCAAGTTTTTTTCATTGCCTATTTGACATTTTTGTCTTATGCTGTAATTATTATTGTATGCCCAGTGGTGACGCTAATATTCAAGCTACTCAAGTATTGTTTTGCTCAAATGTTGAAATTAAAAAAAAAAGTTTCGTCAATGGACGGGGGCAGCAAAGTAGTAGATGCTACTTCAAAAGTATGAGTTTTTAAAATCTCTCCAGCTGCTTGAGTAATAGTTTTCTTGTGTATCTCATAACCAGGGTGTCTAACCTTCATCGACCTTACGTCTAACAAACTTTTCTAAGTTTACAAAACTTTTTCTTGGCAGGGAACCGTTGGGATAACCTTCGGCGACGTTACGTATCTGATCGGGGATGCTTAAAATGCTATTAGCTAATTTAATTGACATCGGCCAAATGACAAGAGTTGGAATATCTCCTGACGTATCGGCGCTAAGAGCTTCAGCTAGCGATCCCCTGATGAGGCACCAGACGTGCTGTCTACACTCTTTATTGCCTCCAGGCGAACTTTTGTCACTTTTATCGATGGTGATGACGTGGTTCACAACTGTGGGGTATGGAACTGTCGGCTCTGTGATCAATGGAGCAACAGCCTGGCCTTGAACGCTGGACTCAGTGAGGCCGCAGTGATAAAAGGAACGAGCAGTCAGCAGTTTTGTTCCAAGTAGACATCCCGTGATCTTGGGGGTTCAGCTAGAGGAAAAGATCTTTTCAGTGCTCTTGTAGACTAAGTCTGTATACAAAAACGGTTATCTAGATTGTGCAAGTGAGTGAGTGAGTACAGCTTTGCGTTCAAGAATACTGTTTTCTTCAGTGTAGCCCTATATGCCAGACCCATAACACGCTAGACCAGCGTGCTTGTGGATCAGGGCCTAACTGAGGGGGCTGTGGTATAACTTCCTCGGGGGTATGTTGGCACTTGAGCCGAGAAACTGGCCTGTGTAAGCCCCTGTACCAGCCTGGCACCCAGGCTAAGTTTGACTACAGCTAACCGTGATCTCTGTAAAGTCCCTCGCGCCAGAGTTCCGGCCCGACCGGGTGACCGGGATTTGGCGCACGGCCAGGCCGGGTAGCCTGACGATTCGTGCCGGCCTGAAGTTGCGAGCTTCGTCTGAATAAATCTTTTATCATGTGTAGGAGGGGAGTTACCTTATGTCACTGTGCCGGGTCAACCTTTACATGTTCCTGACAGTCATCATAAGGAGCGACTGCATATGATGTTTGGTGATAGTTTAGAAATGATAATTTATATGTATCTAATTTAGCTTGCTGGTCAGAAGAGGGGATATTCCTGGAGTGGCTGATCGAAAGTAACGCGTAGTCTTTAAGATTCTTTTCAAGTCGTCTTTATGGAAATTTCTGTTGAATGGGGCCATGCTGATTGTATCTA